CTGTTGATATTGTCTATTCTCTAAGACTGTAGAATCCTCTGGAGTTGCAAAGTTTCTAAAGTGCAGTTTGAAGCCTTCCATAACATTTTGCTCACTACACATACATATGTTTCCTACATGCAAATCCATGATAGCATTACCCCTGGTCTTTCTATTGCCTTTTACTAGATGATGGAACAGTTTTGCATCCTTTGTTCTTGTTTCCAATATATGCGTTGTTTCTCACAATCTTTGTCTTTAGCATTTTCAATTCGCACCTGTCGCCTAAATTCCTTTTTAGTTCTCAGTATTTGTTAGTATATATTATTTTCAGGGTCCTTTATTTTTCCTTGCTTGACCCACTGCGCATAATATTTACGCATCTCATCTAGGGCTAACTTTATATCTGGAGACCATACATTAAATTTTGGTTAAATTTGCCTTGTATCTTGGCTTGTTTGAAGCACATGTAACTGCTGCATCATTTAGAAATCCATGCACCTGAACATCAAAATTATTTCCTTTCTCCTTTTATAGTTTTATTGTTGATATTCACCCCACATGTACCAAGTTTTAGAATAGTTTTATTGCTATACAAGACATTTCTTGGTGTTCTTTAACGGAAGGTTATACAGACAGAAGTAGAAGTATACTAAACAACAAAATTATTTTCATTTACCTGTGTATAATTTTGATATTGCAAATGGCGTAATTTTTTTTCAAAGTTGATGTTTTTTTGAAATTGTTTAGCATTTCACAGCGGTATGATACTTTTACTTTAATTATTCATCCCTTATTTTTATTAACTTTGTATTTACATTGTATCATAGATTAAATTTATTCGTTCAGTGTATGTTCATTTGTGTCACTACGTCTTTTGATTGAGTTAAGCCATTCCAATTGATACTTTATAGTGTGTCTTTCTATGTTGTGATGTTACACTATTGTTTCAGATAAGGGAGAAGGTTTAATACCATTAAAACGTTTAACTCGCTGCAGTTGTTTGCACCTGTCCTAAGTCAGGAATCTGATGTTCAGTAGTTGTCGTTTGTTGATGTGGTTCATAAGTGTTTCTCGTTTTTGTTTTTTTTTATATAGATTAGACCGTTGGTTTTCACGTTTGAATGGTTTTACACAAGTAATTTTTTGGGGCCCTTTATAGCTTACTGTCCGGTGTGAGCTAAGGCTCCATGTTGAAGACCGTACTTTAACCTATAATGGTTTACTTTTATAAATTGTGACTTGGATTGTCTCATTGGCACTCATACCACATCTTCCTATATCTAGTCACGTAATTTAATTAATGAGGAGGAGGTAGTATTATATGTTATCCTGATTCTTAATTAAAAAAAGAAAACTATTACCAGACAAAAGGATAAAAACTTTTTTTTGAATAATTCATATAAAATTGTAAAAAATAATCTACTTTTCTGTGGTAAAAATGTCATGAACCAAGAGAAAGAGAAAAAAAAAACACCCATAGCATTGTACTTTCCTAGTCACTAGTATTTTTTATTCACCGTATTATAACAGTTCATTTATTTCTTGCTTCATGCATTTACAGCAACATTTTTAAATGTAACTGGACAGTGATTACTAACGTTTATATCTAGAGTAATTATTATCATTCCACTATGGCAAGCCGTTCTCGTCAAAACTATGTTTAAACCATTTTTCGAAAAATTTACACACTGAGAATTAAAAAAAAAAACACACTGAGATTAAAAAACCTAAAAACACACACTGAGAATTAAAATTTACACACTGAGATTTCATAAAAACGAACTGAGATTACAAAAAATTAAAAACACACACTGAGAATTGAAAATTACACAATGAGATTTCCAAAAGACACACTGAGATGAAATAAATGAAAAACACACACTGAGAATTTGAAATTACACACTGAGAATTTAAAATTACACACTGAGATTTGTGCGCACTTTTTATGCGCACATATCTAATTAGCATAATTAATCTGAATCTATTACAAGCTTAAAACAACTAGGGGACAGAACTCTTTAGTCCTTCAATTTGGCGCTAAATGTTTTATAAAAAACATTAAAAATATAACGTATAGAAAAACTACGTTATTAAAGACCAATAGAACAAGAAAAATACCCACTTACTCTCATTACAAAATATAACCAAATGGTGAAAAACTTTATTAAAATTTAGTGAAAACATTGGAATAATCTGCAAAAAATACAAACAATGCAGTGATTTTTTCCCCAAGTGCCTATTGTAGCATATATACGTAAAAAATTACCTTGCGAAATCAGGGTAACAGTTGAAAGACTTTTGAAAAGGGACCATGCTTAAACAGTTTTAAGCAAAAATCCCGATATACTGTTAGTAATAATCTGAATTATAGGCAAACAAACTTATGAATACGAGTTAGCAAAAAAAATTGTTAAGTCTTGAAATTTATTACGAATGTTGGCTGTAGGAACCGCATTTCATTATAATGACAAGAGTTCGGGAGACCAAGATATTAATCTGTTGAATTATTCATCTCAAGAATATTCATTAGTAATTTGCATATTAATCTCAGTGTGTATTTTTGAAATCTCATCGTGAAATTAATAATTCTCAGTGTGTGTTTTTCAATTTATTTCATCTCAGTGTGTCTGTTTAAAATCTCAGTGTGTAATTTTAAATTCTCAGTGTGTGTTTTTCATATTTTTAAATCTCAGTGTGTAATTATAAAATCTCAGTGTGTAATTTCGATTTCTCAGAGTGTAATTTCAATTTATCAGTGTGTTATTTAAGGTTCTTAAATCTCAGTGTGATTTTTTTTTTAAATTCTCAGTGTGTAATTTTTTCGAAAAAATGGTTTAAACATAGTTTTGACGAGAACGGCTTGCCATATTCCACCTTATATTTGAGCCGTTGGGCGTGGTTATATCTAATCACAATAGAAAAGAATATCCCACTTTAATTTGATCGGTCAAATGAGATATTCTTTTCTTTTGTGATTAGCAATCCTCGGTGTGTTATACGACAAGAAAAACTTAAAAGATGCATTATCTATAATAACTTTATTGTCGAGAAATGTCGTATAACATGATAATCGGAGATATAATCTGATTTTCTTTGTTTTTTTTTAAGTAATTGGAATTTATCTTTCAAGAGTTTAGAACGAGATACGGTGGTGGAATCTGTTTCTCTAATTATTTTTAGACGATATGCAGACAAACATTTTTCTTTCTTTTCAATGATCTGCAAAAAGATGTGTTCTTGACGTCATCAAATATGGTTTACTTTTTCATGACGTCAGAATAGGAAATCCAGATTAAAGCAAGAAAATTTAAGCAGTATCTTTTACCCTTTCGGTGCACCTGAGATCACCCCCAGTTTTTGGCGGGGTTCATTTCGCTCAGTCTTTAGTTTTCCATGTTGTGTTTGTTGTACGATTTGTGTTGGTCTGTTTGTCTTTTCTTTTTTAGCCATAGCAATGTCAGTTTATTTTCGACTTATGAGTTTGAATGTCCCTTTGGAATCTTTCGCCTCTCTTTAACGTCATAATTGAATTTTGACCAATGAAGAACTGAGACCAAACAACAGGCACTTGTTTCTGAATTTTTTTAACTACATATCTATATTACTAAATGAATAGAGTTGAAATTGGGTGTCGCGTTTTGTTCTTTCATATAAAATCCACGAATATTGTTTTATACCACAAAGGGGTAATGACGAGCGTGGTTTATTATGTATTCATTTCAAGATCTTTTTGGGGGTATTTGGGGGTTAAAATCGGAAAAAAGCCAGTTCGGATCGACCGTCCTTCACGACGTTCGGCTCTGAAATTTACGTGCCGTCATCATTTCCTGTCATTGCACGTCTGCCCGGCAAAATTAAATTTGATTTCGTAGCAGATACGGTAAATATTGACCTTACACTGAAACACTTTGTGATACACATTCTCTTGACGCTCTCAGCAATTTAACAACAGATTTTTATACGTCAAAAGCTTTTCCTTCCGGGGGAAACCGCATCAATTCAACAATGCAAAAAATACTGTTCTGCGGAGCGGAGCATGTTGCGAAATATATTAGCAAAAATTATTTGACAATTTGAAAAAGTGACCCATTCCGGCTGTATCACTCATTGGTGAAATCACCCAGTGGGCACTTGACGTTGTAACAACGTTGAAATTTGAATGAAATTTCAACGTTAATCTAACGTCATGGTATTCAACGTTGACTTTACAACTTTGTTACAACGTTTTGTTTTACGTCGTTAAAATCAACGTTTAAACAACAACGTTGGTTCAACTTTGGGTTAACGTCTGTCATTCGCGACAGAAAAATCTAATTGTCAAAATTGAGGTGTACAGATATATTTGATGAGCAGATAGGACAAGGGGCAGTTCAGTATTATACACGATTGGATAATCAGTGGCTAATCCAGAACTTTTCATCATACTTATAAGGGGGTCCACTGACTGTCATAAGCATGAGCTCAGAGGGGGCTTCCTGCTGTCATGCTTCCATGATCCCTTTATAATCAACCAAATTTTTCCCACAAAAAAGGGGGGGGGGACCGGACTGTTGTTTTGTGCAAGAACAAGGGGTCAGTAGACTTCACAAATAACACAGCTTTTTCCATTTAATTTTTTTTCAAGTTGTGTTTATTTTTTAAGTATCTTTAAATAAACCAATTCAAAACCATTATTCAGTAATTTGTGTTTGATGATTCTCTATTTTTTGGGGAAGATCTCAAAACCTGTTCATGCTATTTTAATCATATGTATATCTATATGAATATGATATATTTTGTTATTTAAATTTTTAAATCAAATCGATTTTTAAGTTGCTTTCTTTCATTTAAATATATAAGAGAAATTTTTTGATATATTTATTTTAATTATTTTTACCGTTTAATATTAAACATATATAAACGATCTTAAAATATCATCGATGTACCATGTTTTCAGTATAATAATTGAGTAGTTTTTAAATTTTCGCGGTATTTTAAGTTGAGTTCTGAAAATTTTCTTTCGGATGCGCACGCTAGCACGCGCACCTCCATTCAACATCCGTTTTGAAAATTTTGAAAATTATCCTCGACAAATTATCGCACCATACTGATAAACAAATAGTGAACAACTGTGTCTAAAGAATATACAGACAAGAGAAGACCTTTCTGTGTAAACCTCTTGATGTTAGCGTAAGTATATTTTACAGTTAGATTAACAAAGAATCATAAAATAAACAAACACATTCAAATGAACAAATTATTTGTTTGCATGTTTACGTTCACAGAAATTATGACAAGGTCTCATCTTACTGAATCTGATTCATTTTCGTGTCATTACAGTTTAATGATTTGTTTGCATATAATATCCAATCAGCGAACTAACATTAAAATATCTAGGCATGTTATGATGTACAGAATCAGTCATATCAGAAAAGGGGGAGGTGGTCATCGAATACTAGCCAATTCGTTCAAATACAACTCGATACCACATAGAAATGGTCTACTCTAAAATACTGTTTTGGTCTTTTTGATATTTTCGAAAAATATCAGTCGTCTTTGACAGTTTCAACTGTATCTGAACATTATGGTTATTACAAAACACAGATCTGGTTAGAATTCATGCTTTGACTTGTTATTGATGCAAGCTGGGACAATAGTTTCAAATGGACATGTTGCCTTCTATGATTTAAATATTTTTTTTTGTTATTGGTAGAATTTGATAATATTTCCGGCTTTAGTACACAACTTTTATTATGTAATTCAAATTTATGTTCTTTCTCTTCCAGGCCTTCAGACGCTGTTCTAGACTGCCACAAAGAGACAACAGAATCCAAAATATCTTAGCAGTGTTCAAGACATTTGAAGTGTGAAGAGGGCAGAATGAGTTGCTTGGCCAAAAGAATAGATCTTTAAAACAAAATAAATTTTTCATTTTAAAAACCTCTTTTTTTTTTATTTCTATAATTAACATAGTTGCTAGTAAAAAAAGGAAGTGAAATTAAGAAATACATTATTTGATGTTCTTCATCTTTTTGTTTGGTTTACTTAATTGTATCGGGTGTATAGATAATGATTGAATGAGTAAACAGCTTGGTGATGTATTATAATGGTTTGTTCCAAAAGCCTTAAAGATAAATGTAAAAAACACATATCCGGTATACCCACAAAAAGTTACAATTGAGATTGACAAGATATCAATAAAAATGAAAAAAAGACACAAAATAGAACTAAATATTGGATAACAAAAACTTAGAATGCGAAGTTATTTTTAAATGGTCCTGCTATGTATTCACATTAAACAAAGGAGGCATTTTGTGTCACTGTGTCAAACTTGCTTCATTTACATGATTTTGGATAAGTTGGAAAACTTAATCAACCAGAACAAAACAATGTGCTGTAGTAAGTTGATGCATGTGTTCCTTTGTTTGAGAAATTGATGTGCTACAAAAGAGAGCTTTGTTAATATTGAAATACTTGGTTTCAAATAAAATCTTGATATTCTAACTGTTTCTCCTCTTCGGGTTTGATTGTGATTGTCTACTATGCTCTTTTTGGAGTTGTCTCTTGAGAAAAGAGCTATTGATGGATGTTCTAACTTGAAATAAAAAAGTGAGTTATTTCATAATTCAGATATCTTATTATATCTGAACACGTGCCAATAAGGATTAATTTACACCTGAGAACCATCACTTTACCAATCTTCAACCAACCTACAATTGACCTGATTTCAACCTAATTCGACCTGATTTCAACCTAAACCCGACCTGATTTCAACCTAACCCAGACCTGATTTTAACCTCACTGGACCCGATTTCAACATGTTATCAGCGTCAATATAACGTTGAAACTGCAACGTTGATTCAACGTCAGGATTTCAACGTCATTACAACTTTCAAATCTAACCCAAGTTTCAACGTTGTGACAACGTTGAAGTCTGACATTGGATCAACGTTGATACAACGTTTTGTGCCTGCTGGGAAGGGAATATCCCAGAACTCATGTATTACTCATTGGTGAAAAAAGGGAATATCCCAGAACTCATTATTTTATACGACCACACAAAAATTGCGGTCTTTTAATGTTATAATATTGTCATTGTTTTTATTTGGTTCGTTTCTATTCTATGCAATAACAGCAGTAATTTTTGACGGATTCAATCAGGTGCGGATCCAGGATTTAATATTAGGGTTGCAAAATATATTGTTCAACGGAGCGGAGCATGTTGCGAAATATATTAGCAAAAATTTTTGACAAGTTGAAAAAGTGACCCATTCCGGCTGTATATATACATATAGACTCATATAATTTTCCCTGTTTGTGTAGTATTGTCAATTTTGATGATCCAATACCTATTAAGTTTACTAGTTGGTAGATTCTTATAGACTCTATATATATATATATATATATATATATATATACCTTTATATAGGAAGTGATACCCAAACCCCCTCCCCGTGGGCCCCGGCACAAGATCCTGGGCAATATGTTAATATTACTGCATATATGCAAAATTAACAAATCCAAATAGTTTCCTATGTCTGTTTTATCCAGACCATGCGCTTTTTACCACACACAAATATCATTACTCATTGGTGAATAAAGGGAAAATCCCAGAACTCATTATTTTATTCGACCACACAAAAATTGCGGTCCTTTAATGTTGTAATTTTGTCATTGTTTTTATTTGGTTTGTTTCTATACTCTTCCACATTTAGAAGCACCAAAGAATTCACCCAATAGAGGGTTGGTATAATGACTTCACGTTCACATCCTGTATTAGGCACGGACCATTTGATTTTCCGAGGGATGGGGCTGGGATGGTCATGCGCACCTGGATTTTCTTATCATTCAATGTTTTCCCTATGTGTTCAGTACACAAAATTTATTTCCAAAATGTTTTGGGGGATTGGCAAAACTGCTAGAAGTGCTAGACAGATTTTTTTTTTTTTACCAAATACGGGTTAGGATATTTTTTGTAAAAAATCCCAGTCAGTTTTCAATCTATATGTCACCAATTAAAGGTATTTATAAACACATATTATTTTGATCAGTGCAATGCATCCAGGGTATTACAATGACATATCCTATGATTAGATCACAAACGCCAATAGTTTCTGATGGGAAGACTATTCTTTTGGGTGTCATATTGAGTGGTGGTATTTCGTCTGTGACACGCTTCAAAAAGATTTAAGATCTTAATATCGCCTTACACCAAAACTATATATCTTTAAATTATGAACCAAAGTATATTTCGCGGGTATTTTCTAGTTAAAGTATAATTAAAGTATATGGTACATTTTTTTTCAGAGACAGCTGTCTGTGTTTACATACAATTAATAACAAAAGGAAAGAGGGAATTTTATATGATACTCGACCCAAATTTAAATTTGAAGAAAAATGATGAAGCTCGTTATAAGTAATTTAAACCCAAAAGAAAATTTATATGAATGCATGATTTATATGTATTTGTGATGTGTTTGTTCATGGTTGGTTTTGTTTAGGCCATTGGCCCATATTGACTAAAGGGCTTTTCAATAAATAAAGTAATGTTGAATTTCAGATTTTGTTAACATTGCAAAAGGGAAGCCTAGCTCAATGTCTGCAGAAGCTTCAGACCATGGAACGTATTCTTCTAGAGCTAATAATGGAAATTACTGGGAAAATTTTGGACAATGTGCATCACCCAAACCTAAGACTTACAACTGGTGGAAGGTTAATCTACTAGCTAATTACGAAATTCATCGGGTATTCGTTTATAGTTTAAGTAAGTACAAAAGGTGTATTAACGTTATTAGAGACATTCATAAGTTAGACTTTACTTAGGGGAGTGTACCTGAATTAAGCGAGATAAATCTTTAGAAACATCCATAAGTTATAACTCTAAACTGAAGGGAGGAGACCTGAATTAAGGGAGATAACTCTTTAGAGACATCCATAAGTTACACTTTACTTAAGGGAGGAGACCTGAACTGAGGGACATAACTGTTTAGAGACATCTATAAGTTAGACTTTACTGAGGGGAGAAGACCTGAATTAAGGGAGACAACTCTTTAGAGACATCCATAAGTTAGACTTTACTGATGGGAGAAGACCTGAATTAAGAGAGACAACTCTTTAGAGACATCCGTAAGTTAAACTTTACTTAAGGGAGGTGACCTAAACTGAGGGACATAACTCTTTAGAGACATCAATAACTTATAATTAACTTAATAGATGAGACCTGAATTAAGGGAGATAACTCTTTAGAGACATCCATAATTTATACTTTATTTAAAGGAGGAGACCTGAATTAAGGCAGACAACTCTTTAGAGACATCAATAAGTTACACTTTATTTAAGGGAGGAGACCTGAAATAAAGCAGATAACTCTTTAGAGACATCCATAAGTTAGACTTTACTGAGGGGAGGAGACCTGAATTAAGGGAGACAACTCTTTAGAGACATCCATAAGTTAAACTTAACTTAATAGATGAGACCTGAATTAAGGGAGATAACTCTTTAGAGAGATCCATAAGTTAGACTTTATTTAAGGGAGGAGCCTTGAATTCAGAGCGATAACTCTTTAGAGACATCCATAAGTTAGACTTTATTGAGGGAGAAAACCTGAATTAAGCGAGACTTTATTTAAGGGAGAACACCCGAATTAAGGGAGATACCTCCTCAGAGACATCCATAAGTTAGACTTTACTTAAGGAAGGAGACCTGAATTAAGGGAGATACCTCTTTAGAGACATCCATAAGTTAGACTTTACTTAAGGAAGGAGACCTGCATTAAGGGAGATACCTCTTTAGAGACATCCATAAGTTAGACTTTACTTAAGGAAGGAGACCTGAATTAAGCGAGACAACTCTTTAGAGACATCCATAAGTTAGACTTTATTTAAGGGAGAACACCTGAATTAAGGAAGATACCTCCTCAGAGACATCCATAAGTTAGACTTTACTTAAGGCAGGAGACCTGAATTAAGCGAGACAACTCTTTAGAGACATCCATAAGTGTCTCTAAAGAGTTGTCTCCCTTAATTCATGTCTCCTCTCTTAAGTAAAGTCTAACTTATGGATGTCTCTAAAGAGTTATGTCCCTCAGTTCACGTCTCCTCCCTTATACTTTACTTAAGGGAGGAAACCTGAACTGAGGGAGACAATTCTTTAGAGACATTCATATGTTATACTTTACTTAGGGGAGTGTACCTGAATTAAGCGAGATAAATCTTTAGAGACATCCATAAGTTAGACTTTACTTAAGGGAGGAGACATGAATTAAGAGAGACAACTCTTTAGAGACATTCATAAGTTCTACTTTACTTAAGGGATGAGACCTGAATTAAGGGAGACAACTCTTTAGAGACATCCATAAGTTATACTTTACTTAAAGGAGGAGATTTGAATTAAGGGAGATTACTCTTTAGAGACATCTAACTTAAGGGAGGAGACTTGTTTATGCAAAAATTATTGCTTTACAAAAACACACACAAATATGACAAAAGTTAACCATTAAGGAGTGTGTAGGGATGTTGAATGTCGTGTACAACCACTTATTGCTATATAAAAACACACACAAATATGACAAAAGTTAACCATTAAGGAGTGTGTAGGGGGGTTTAATGTCATGTACAACCTCTTATTGCTATACAAAAACACACACAAATATGACAAAAGTTAACCATTAAGAAGTGTGTTGGGGTGTTTAATGTCATGTACAACCGCTTATTGCTATACAAAAACACACATAAATATGACAAAAGTTAACCATTAAGAAGTGTGTTGGGGTGTTTAATGTCATGTACAACCACTTATTGCTATATAAAAACACACACAAATAGAGGTCGGTCAATTTAGAACGTATCTAAAGTATCCGATACGTTGACGTATACGCATCTAAGGGAATATGCTCAAATAATTATCCCACTAATATTAAACATGGTACATTGAGTAATACTTTC